GTTGTTTACATTGTCGAGGTTCTGGCGTTTATTGTTTGTAGAGAGAGAGAGAGAGAGTACTGTTTCTGACACCATTATGGCTAGCTCACCCTAAAGGAATTATGAGGGTGTAAGCTGTGTTATTGTTCACCTTATTCACCCTGGCGTGTTATAGGGTGTAGTGTGTATTGAGGTTCACCCTAGATGGTCACCCTGGCTAGTTGTAAGGGTGTAATGTGTGTTATCAATCACCCTAACTAATATTATTGACTGAACAGCTTCGAATCAACTCTGAAAAGTTACACCCTAGTTGGTCCTGCGTCAGTTAGCCCATTGTCTGCCATACCTGACTGACACAGAGACGGTATTTAACCACGTGAAGGTAATTTGACTTAAAGATACGCCTCTCTCTACATGCGCTGCCGGGTGTATGGCTAACCACGGCACAAACGCAGCTTAAATCAGTCTTTTTTTTAAGGTAATCACATAATATTTTGCTCTGTAAGTTACCTGAGTTGTAAAGCACATCTTTCTAATCCCCTTTTCTATCCCCATCCTTCCTCCATCCCTTTCTCTTCCTCTCAGTGGTTGTGATTCTCGGGATGACTTCAAGCTTATGGTTGTAAATAGATCAAATAATCTCTTTATTGCGGGTTATGGCTGACCTCCACAACACTGCTACAGGAAAGTTGGTTAATAGGGGAGCATCTCTCTACCTGGTGGAGAAGGGGAGGAGTGGTGGAGGTGGAGTGGTGGAGAAGTGGAGTGGTGGAGAAGTGGAGGAGTATCTCTGTCATGGTGGAGAGAAGGGGGGTGTGAGGTAAGGTTGAGTGTGTGTTGAAGACGACGACTGAGAGAGAGAGAGAGAGAGAGAGAACAACTCAGGTTAATTAACGGACCTCATAACCTAACCTAAACACACACACCCACACCTGTCAATATCCAAGACAGGAACGACACACACAACTACACTCTGTCGATAACTGTCTCCTACGCCTGACTAATACCTGTTTCAGGTGTGTAGTGGTGGTGGTGGTACACAGTATTACACCCTCCACACACCTGTCTCTATACTACCTGTACACACCTGTTCATTAATTAATCCCAAGATATGACTATTATCTGTCTACGAAACAACATTATTTTTTCACCACAAAAATAAATATATTTTTGGTATATTTAACAGACATAAAAGTGTTTTAATTGTGTTCTGATTACCACGCGACCTGCAGTGACGCGGTGACTGTGTGTGTCACTACCTGTCATATGTGTGTGTGTCACTACCTGTCATGTGTGTGTGTGTGTGTCACTACCTGTCATGTGTGTGTGTGTGTGTGTCACTACCTGTCATATGTGTGTGTGTCACTACCTATCATGTGTGTGTGTGTGTGTCACTACCTGTCATGTGTGTGTGTGTCACTATCTGCCATGTGTGTCATTACCTGTCATGTGTGTCACTACCTGTCATGTGTGTGTGTCACTACCTGTCATGTGTGTGTGTGTCACTTCCTGTGTGTGTGTGTGTGTGTGTATCTCTCTGTCATGTGTGTGTGTGTCACTACCTGTCATATGTGTGTGTCATTACCTGTCATGTGTGTGTGTGTCACTGCCTGTCATGTGTGTGTGTACTGTCACTACCTGTCATGTGTGTGTGTGTGTGTCATTACCTGTCATGGTAGTGTGTGTCACTACCTGTCATGTGTGGGTGTGTCACTACCTGTCATGAGTGTGTGTGTCACACTATCTGTCATGTGTGTGTGTGTCACTACCTGTCATGTGTGTGTGTGTCACTACCTGTCATGTGTGTGTGTCACTACCCCTTGTCATGTGTGTGTGTCACTATCTGCCATGTGTCTGCCCTGTCATGTGTGTCACTACCTGTCATGTGTGTGTGTCACTATCTGTGTCATGTGTGTGTGTGTCACCTACCTGTCATGTGTGTGTGTCACTACCTGTCGTAATGTGTGTGTCACTACCTGTCATGTGTGTGTGTGTCATTATCTGTCATGTGTGTCACTATCCGTCATGTGTCACTATCTGTCATGTGTGTGTCACTACCTGTCATGTGTGTGTGTGTCACTATCTGCCATGTGTGTCATTACCTGTCATGTGTGTCACTACCTGTCATGTGTGTGTGTCACTACCTGTCATGTGTGTCACTATCTATCATGTGTGTCATTACCTGTCATGTGTCACTATCTGTCATGTGTGTCACTATCTGTCATGTGTGTGTGTCACTATGTCATTTGTGTCACGACCTGTCATGTTTGTCGCTATCTGTCATGTGCGTGTCACTATCTGTCATGTGTGTCACTATCTGTCATGTGTGTGTCACTACCTGTCATGTGTGTCACTATCTGTCATGTGTGTCATATTGACCTGTTCGTGACGTAGACGGTATATGACACATGTTAATTTAGGTCATTCTGATTATTATTATTTTTGTCATCGTTAGTACTTGTACACACTCATCTTAGTACTCAATATGCACTGTGTACTCCCACCAGATAGTACTCAATACTCTCATTAAATGTACTCAAAAAGGGTTTATCATATGCCCTTTCTAAACTCTAGGTTCTAATTCTCAATTGAAGGTGTTAATTCTACAGACCAGCCGCCCTTTCTGTAGTTACTTCTAATTCTAAAAGGGCATATGGTGTGACCTTTCTACAGCTACAGTTCAGAAAAGGTCCAGTCGGTGATAACAGTCTTTGTGATACAGTTACATAGATGATTACAGTTATTACCGGTTACAGAGATACAGTACAATAGCTTTTTGATAATAATAATATACAGGTGAAATAAGCTCCTTAAAATGTGTGTGTGTGTGTGTGTGTGTGTCTGTCTGTCTGTGTGTGTGTGTGTGTCTGTGTGTGTGTCAGACTTACACTGAGACTCTACCTTAACTAGATACGTTCACTTTACCTTAACCACCTGAAGATTAAACTCCCTAACGAAACTTGGAGTATTAGATTAGGTTAGGCTGGGTTAGGTTAGGTTAAACCAGGTCCTGTGTTGTATGCAGTTAATAATGATTTACACGTAGCCACTCCCTCACCCCCCTTACCTCACCTCCCACCTTACCTCACCTCTCCCCCCCACCCCACCCCTTACTCACCTCTCCCCCACCCCTCACTAGATTCAAGGTCGCGCAGGTATCAATGTTGACACTTACATCGATTCTCTCTCTACTGAGTCTATGTTACTGATTGTTTGTTTCTGGGTCTTGTTTACTGAGTCTATTGTTTATGTTACTGAGTCTATTGTTTATGTTACTGAGTCTATTGTTTGTTTACTGAGTCTATTGTTTGTTTACTGAGTCTATTGTTTATGTTACTGAGTCTATTGTTTGTTTACTGAGTCTATTGTTTATGTTACTGAGTCTATTGTTTGTTTACTGAGTCTATTGTTTATGTTACTGAGTCTATTGTTTGTTTACTGAGTCTATTGTTTATGTTACTGAGTCTATTGTTTGTTACTAGTCTGAGTTCTATTGTTTGTTTACTGAGTCTATTGTTTATGTTACTGAGTCTATTGTTTGTTACTGAGTCTATTGTTTGAGTCTATTGTTTATGTTACTGAGTCTATTGTTTGTTTACTGAGTCTATTGTTTGTTTACTGAGTCTATTGTTTATGTTACTGAGTCTATTGTTTGTTTACTGAGTCTATTGTTTGTTTACTGAGTCTATTGTTTATGTTACTGAGTCTATTGTTTGTTTACTGAGTCTATTGTTTGTTTACTGAGTCTATTGTTTGTTTACTGAGTCTATTGTTTGTTACTGAGTCTATTGTTTGTTTACTGAGTCTATTGTTTGTTACTGAGTCTATTGTTTGTGTTACTGAGTCTATTGTTTATGTTACTGAGTCTATTGTTTGTTTACTAAGTCCTCAAAGGGTGAAAACATCGTCCTCAGTGTTATATCTTAAACCAACTAAACCATCAACATTAAACCATTTGCCTCAGAATTAAACCAATATATTCATAAGATAATCGACCTAAACGTGAAATGTCATACTCAAAGTGTTAAACCATTGTCCACCAATAGTTAAACCATCATTCTTAGTTTGTATATCTTAAACTAACACCACCAAAGAGTTAAACCATCATTATATAGTTAAACCATCATTATATAGTGATACCATTCTTCTCAAAAACTTAAACCGTCCTTCCCAGTGCTATAGCTTAAACCATTGTCATCGAAGAGTTTAACCACCATTATTTAGTTAAACCATGATCCTCAAGTAGTTAAACCACGATCCACAAGTAGTTAAACCATCACCTCATAGTTAAACCATCGTTCTCACAGTGGTTTTGTCATCATTTAGTTAAACTATTATCCTTTAGTACTTAAACCATCATCCACAAGTAGTTAAACCATCACTATATATTTAACCTATTATCCTCAAGTAGTTAAACCACCACACAGTTAAACCATGGTACTCACAGTGGTTTAATCATCATCGTTGTGTGTGAAGATAGTGAAAGACTGGTAATATATCACGTTATAGGTTTAATGTTATACTGATATGCAAAGGTGGACTCAAAAGCCTGATACATATAAAACACATTTATAGCACACATAGACAGTATGGTTCAAAAGCTACAGTATTATGTACACTCTAGAAAATGGTCAAAGCTTTTCTTTATACATAAATATACAGTTTTATACAGGAATTAAATCAACTTTGTTTAATACACTGATATAATACACACTTGTTTTGATTGCACCTTTATGACGTCATTAATCTCATACAGACCAATGGCGTATGGTTTGTTAACTACACATTATGACAAATTTTGGCCAAGTTATATATTTTGTGTGACAGCCTGCCATGACACTGACAGACTGACACGCTATGTTGACACTGACAGCCTAACACGCTATCATGACATTGACAGCTTGATACGCTGTCATGACATTGACAGCTTGATACGCTGTCACGACACTGACAGCCTGACCCTCTATCACGACACTGACAGCCTGACACGCTATCATGACAGCCTAACACGCTGTGCTTGATACGCTGTCACGACACTGACAGCCTGACCCTCTATCACGACACTGACAGCCTGACACGCTATCATGACACTGAATACTGTCAAGAAAATACTGAACTGTGGTGGCACGACGGTCTGGTCTGGTCTCTAATACTTAATAATGAACGAAAAGTCTCACTACGCGGCATCATCATCACTAACACTGGATACGAGTCATCACAGGAAACTTTTTGTGGGCACTGGTGACACTCCACTCAGTGCCACTTGGGAAGGGGGGGGGGGACGCGTCACCTCCCACTGTTAACATTCACACAGTCACTACACACCTCCTGCTGGTGGAGTCCTTCGCCTCACAGCTCGTATGGAAGGATCTCGTCCCTCGGGTCGACATAGACGTGAGGTGTGGTGACACTGTGGCAGGTGGAGGGCGCGCCGCTCGCCACGCTGGCCGGACAGCCCCCCATGGTGCTCTGGGCTCCAGCCAGGTAGCCCCCCTCCTCCCTCTCTTGTCATACGTGTGAGAGTGGCAGTGTCTTGTTAACAGGGCCCATGTGTGACGCCACACTGTGGGTGGTGCCCTGGGCGCTCATGGGCGGGGGAGGGAAAGACGCACAGGAGGGGGCGGTCGCCTGCTTCATGGGTCGTGTGGGGTACTCGTAGGTGTGGCCGTGGGCAGGACACAGACGCTGGTAGAACCGTCGCCATGAGTCCAGGGTCTTGCCAGACCAGATCCAGAACCCGGCGGTGATGCCCACCACCAGCGTCATGAAGTAGCGCAGCATGAGCACCGAGTAGTCGGGCCGCTGGCCATGGTGGGGGCTACACGGGCACACCAGCGAGTCCTGCCAGTTGGCGACGTACAGCTGCTCGTAGAAGTAGCAGCCGATGACGATGGTCGCCGGCACAGTGTACAATACGCTGAACACACCGATACGGATCATTAACTTCTCCAGCTTCTCCGTCTTCGTCCTGCCCTGCTGCTTGATCACGTTACGGATGCGGAAGAGACTGACGAAGCCGGCCAGTAAGAAGCACGACCCCAGCACCAGGTAGATGAAGAGGGGCGCCAACACAAAGCCTCGCAGGTTACCGATGTCTTGGTTGCCAACGTAACAGATGCCCGCCACGGAGTCACCGTCCACGCCCGCCATCATGAGGACGGCTATACTCTGAAGGGTCGGGATGAACCAGGCGGCCAGGTGGAACCAGGCGGAGTACCCGGCGATGGCCTCGTTACCCCACTTGAGGCCTGCCGCCAGGAACCAGGTGAAGGCGAGCACCACCCACCAGATGCTGGAGGCCATCCCGAAGAAGTAGACGAGGAGGAAGACGGTAGTACAGAGGCCGGAACCGTAGGGGTTGTGGCGCACCAGGTGGTAGTTGTACACGATCATGTCGCCGTCACACGCCACCTCCGAGTGACCAGCCACCAGACGGATGATGTAGCCTACGGACACCATGAAGTAACAGCCACTGAGGAAGATGATGGGACGCTCCGGGTACTTGAATCGGTCCATGTCGATTAAGAACGTGGTGATGGTTGTTAAGGTCGACACACCGCACAGGATCGCCCACGTGGCGATCCAGATTTGTGCAAAAGTTCTCTCTTCCTGACTAAAATAAACACCTTTACACGGCAGTGCACAGTCCTGGACGCCTCCCACCTTAAATGACTCATTATGGTTCTTGCCGACCTGCCTGTAGGAGGCGTCCAGCTTCACCAGCGGGATCTTACACGAGCACTGACAGGCGTCCGGCCTTGTTGTCTTGGGACAGTATTTAGAGTTGTTCTTGCCGCGACACTTACTGTCCAGGGAGGTGTAGGTCTTAGTGGTCTTCTTCTCTGGCGCTGAACCATTACGTTTGTCCATACAGAGGTGCACTGAGTCTCCATACTCTGGCAGCTTAGAGCAGTCCATCCTTTCTGGCCAGCCAAACCCATACTGCTCCATGATGGGAGCGCAGCCCGCCCTGGCACGCTCACACACGCTCCTGCAGGCCGGGAGGGGTTTATCGTAGTCCTCGATACAGATGGGAGCATAGACGGAGCATAGGAAGAACTTGAGGTCCTGGGAACACATGATCTCCACCAGCGGCCAGAACTGGTGCACCTCCAGCCCCGCCTCGTCCTGGCTGTCGTGGTTGAACTGGTTAGGCATGGACGTGTTGTTGTAGCCAATGCCGCGACACATAGGTATGGTTATTTCCTCACAGCGAGACTCCTTGGCCGTCTCGCCCTCCGTGGCGCCCGCCAGTGTGGCCACCAGGAGGATAAAAGATGATAACCATACCGAGTTGCGCATTATGGTGCTGAGGGGCGCCGCGGGTCTACACTGGCCTCATAGTTCGCACCTCCACCACCACCCCCAGCACTCACACCTACTGCTCCACCCAGCCACGGTTTGCATCCACCATTATTCAAACAAACAAGTCGCCACGGACCATCATCGATCCACGTCCGCTCTCGAGGGGAGCCAGGTTTACACTAACTGAGCGTGCGTCCCGTGAGCCTTAGAACCGAGGGGACGCAGGTACCACACAGTGTTTTTCACTCATATTTACCACACCACAATGATGGTCACTTATTTACCCTCCTCCACGTGACCTCAGCTCAGGGAGGAGAACAGTGAGCACCTCCTGACCAACCCTGCAGGAGGAGGAGAAAGCTTGTGTCTTGTGTGTAGAGGCTGGCCGGGACAGTGTGTGGAGCCGACGCCCTCTCGGCCAATGAGCACAGGCGCAGCTGCTGGACAGGCCAATCACCAGCCTCGTCTCATTCCGCCAGGAGCCTCCCGGTGACCTGCAACAAAAGACTCATGTTAAGTCAGGTCATATTCTACCTGGCGTGAATGAAAAGGAGCAGCAGCAGGAATGTGGCGGCGGTGAGGCAGGTGGAGGTGACCACAGAGCCAGGTATTGAGCGACGGAGTCTTGCTTGTGTTATTGATCACCAGCCGCCCTCACTCCTACTACAAGTATAAGTACACACACACACACACACACATACTTCCGCCTCGCATTCCTCACTCTTATATTCACACAACATTTCCCACACCCACACACATACTCACACACCCACACACACACATTTTCCTCAACCTCCCACACACACCCTCCTCCCCCCCTCCCCCACACACACACCTGATTTGTTGCCTAATTTTACAATGCTAAACCCTCTCTTCCCCATGTGGCCCAGCAGCCGGCCAAAAGTCGTCAGTTTACACCCAGGGCCGCAGTGCAGAGCCGAGAAAATACAAGTTAATGTGTTGTGTCGTGAGGTTCTCCTTAACTCTTGCCGGAGAGCGTCTGTTTCCCCGACCCAAAACTTCACCTTGAGTTCTGTTGCTTACTGTTGAACGGTATATCTCTGTTATCTGTTGTTTCTGTTGCTGGTGGTCTGGGTAGGTAGCTGTTATTGCTGTTTTTTATGGCCTTGTTCTCTGGGTGGGCTGGTGGGCTAGGGTGAGTGTGTGAGGCACTTGCTATACACCTCCACCCTCGCTAGTTTAAGGTAAATACCGAACATCTTTGAGACCTTCGCTATCTGTTCCCTACTGTGATCACCACTACATACATACACACATACATACATACATACATACATACATAGTTCACATTGGTTCATGGTGTACACAGATCATACAGGTATACAAACAATGATAAACAGTGAGTCAATTTTACCACGGATGGTCCTGACGTTGGTAGTGGTGGTGGTGTTGTAGTGGTGGTGTGGTGGTGTTGGTGTTGTAGTGGTGGTGTGGTGGTGGTGTTGTAGTGGTAGTGGTGAAGTGATGATATAAGATGAAACGGATTGTAGGGGATTAGTTGAAACAAAGGCGGGAATGACAGGTGTGTTTTAATTAGTTTACCTCTGGATGGTTACTTGTCTGTTAAGCCTTTCCTCCCTCCCCCTACTCTTTCACCCCGTCACCCCCCCCCCATTCTCTTTTCCCTCCCTTCCCCACTCTCCTCTCCCCCATTCCCACACCCCTTCTCCCCATTTCAACACCTCCTTTCCTCCTCACTCATCATCCCCCACCCCCCTCCGCCTCACCTCCTCACCCCCACACCCCCTCCTCCTCCACCCCACCTCCTCCTCACCCCCCTCCTCCTCACCCCACATAGACAAAATTAACCCCTTAAATGAATTCTTCCGTCTTCACTTACTAGAAATAATCAACTAACGAGAATTTGAGAAACTTGGAACGACTTGTACTCGGGGGAATTTTAATTGGCTGTAGCTAAACGTGTCCACCAATCAGAAACGGATAAATCTCTTAGCGTTCTTAAAAGAAAATACTTATGGCATTTCTTGAATTACTAAAAGTTGTCTTCTTCAAGTAAATAAGAGCATAAGAATTGATGTTTTATAGATATTGTCATTTATTTACACATTATTGAGCTAAAATTAATATAAGAATCAACAGTAAACTCATTATGTGACATTTAAATCCGGATTCATCGCTTATGGTCCAAGAACGCGGGTGACTTGACGTGTATGTACTCTTGTTGACGTTGGGGGTGTCATCTCCAACATCCTCACCCACCCTACCCACACCCTTTTATACCCTCACGCCCCCTGTTAACCCCCCCCCCCACCCTGACACACCTAGACACACCCTCTAACATCCTCGCCCACCATTTTACACCCTATCCACACACTTTACACCCTATGCACACCCTTGCACACCCTGCCACACCCTCGGCCACACAGTATACGTGACCACTCCTGTGTTGAGGCGCTCGAGTGGACAAGACCTCTTGACTGAACATCTGAGAAGGTCGACATGAACCTCCTCCTTCAAGTCCTTCCCCTCTCTCACGCCCCCCACCACGCCCTCCTTCCTTCCTTCTCCCGCCCCTCTTATTCCTAGGTCCTTCTCTCAAACTATACACAAATATAATTGGTGTTGGTCTGCCCTCTGTGGTGATTGTGGTAGTGTAGTAGGATAGTGGTGGTAGGATAGTGGTTATGGTAGTGGTATGTCTAGTAGTTGTGGTTGTAATGGTGTTAATGTTGGTGTAATATGACATTAAATCCGTTTACCAGGTGTGTATCTAATTAATTCATACCTGTCCTTCAGTATAATGTGTTACCTGCACGTCACCCACACCTTGACTCCTACCTGTACTGTACACACCCTTAACTCTTGTATATATGACCTGTTTACGATGTATACTTTCACTACGACCCTTTAAATAGACACGATCTCACATATGTATCATCTCCCATCCTCAGGTATACATGGCCTCATCTATTATGTATACCTTCACTACCATCATAGAGTATACATAACCCGCCCGCCATTGTATATCTTACAATACTGCCACTGAATAATACAGTAACGGGCGTAGGATTGTATTAACCCTCAAGTGCTGCCCTCCCAATATCACCCACCCTGGCGATATTCATGAGGCTGGCGAAAATATTGAAGTGTGTGTGTGTGTGTGTGTGTGTGTGTGTGTGTGTGTGTGTGTGTGTGTGTGTAGAGGATGTTTATTGGCCTTACATGGTGGCACATTGACTTTTATCGGGTGTGGTGGTGTGGTGTAGTGTGGTGGTTGAGTGTTGTTATTTGTGGTGTTATTGTATGGTGTAATGCGTTCTGGTGATGATGTATGGTGAAAATAGACTGTAATAGTGACATTATACTACATTATTATGACGTCATTGTGGGTATTGTATCTATCATGACATCAAAGTATTGTTGTATCATTATTATGGCGTCGTAGTCTTATTGTATCATTATTATGGCACACATTGAGGCTTCAGCTGACAGATGTATGTGGTGCTGGAGCCTCGCGTGCACCACTAGGCTCCACACAAGAGAACCACACCATAACGACGCCCCGTAAATTGAGAGGCGGTGGGGTGGTTTGGCGCGTTGGCTGTGGTCTTGATTTTGTTTATACGTGACAAGCTGTGATATTTTGGTGGTGAGGCATGGCTGTGTGTGTGTGTGTGTGGCGACGGTCAATATCACACTACCTTCCCTACCACACCACTACCATAACGCCACACCACACTACCACCATACCACTACCATACCTACCTACTCGCGGTATGCCACACACACACAGGAGTTTGAGCCTCATGCTACAGGCTGGTGAGGGCGAGGATTCCTTCCCCCGCCCCACCAGACTGCCGTAAGGAATCTATTGAGAGTCCTGCAGGAGTATACGTCATCCTACACCATTCGTCCCCTGACAGAGACTCCCTCCTGCACCCACAGATTCCTACGTCAGGTGTGTTTTTCTGAGGCTCGCCTGAAGATTAGACACCCTAGCTTATTATACCTGGTGATTAAACGCTCTAATTCTACCTGTGGGGTTAGGTTAGGTGTGTGTGTGTGTGTGTTAATAGTGTTTCGGTGTGTGCAGTATACTGTATCCGCACCACCTGTAAGATCTACCTCCACTGTACCGCTGTAATTCCTCGGGGGTACAGGTTACAGAGGTGTACTTAATAATTACTGTACTACACACACACACACACACACACACACACTCACACACACACACACACACACACACACACAAGGAAGTTTAGCTACAGAACCGGTTGTAAATCTGTAATACAACCGGTTTTCTTCTATTATGACCGGCACGCGTTCCTCTGTCTGGGAGCTCACACACGCACGCAAAAAATGCACTCACACGCACACAACACACCCATACACCGGACAATCTGATGGACTGGACTCACACACACACACGTATCAATAAGAGTGAGTCCATCTGTTGTTGTTTGGTCAGCTTCCACAATAACAGACAGACAGACAGATGTAAACAGTGATATGATCTGTACCCCCCTGATAGCTACGATGCTGGGTATAATAAGAAGGAAAAGTATAGCAATTAGGGATTGATTGTCTGTCGGTTTATAAAGCTATGTTAGTGAGTGGGTGGGTGAGTGAGTGGGTGAGTGAGTGGGTGAGTGAGTGAACGAGTGAGTGAGTGGGTGAGTGAGCGAGTGAGTGAGTGGGTGAGTGAGTGAGTGAGCGAGCGAGCGAGTGAGTGAATGAGCGAGTGAGTGAGTGGGTGAGTGAGTGAGTGAGTGGGTGAGTGAGTAAGGTGCGGTGACTATTGGATCGGCATATAAGAACATAAGAATGGAGGAAACTGCAGCGGGCCATACTGGGCAGTCCTGTTTACACCCAACCCCTATTGCTCATATAAGCATCCAACCTATGTTTGAAGCTATTCAGCGTATTCGAGTTAATGACGATGTTTGGCACCTTGTTCCATTCATCCACTACTCTGTTACCAAACCAATGTTTACCTATTTCGCGCCTAAATCTAAATTTGTCTAATTTAAAACCATTGTTACGAGTTCGCTCCTGGTCGGATAGTTTGAGTACCTTTGTAATGTCCCCTTTGTTTAGCACCTGACTTCCATTTATACACCTCTATCATATCGCCTCTCACTCCACGTCTCTCGAGGGAGTGCAAATTAAGATGGTTTGACCTGTCTCTGTACTAAAGGTTCCTAATACCCAGGATTAGTCTTGTCATTCTCCTCTGAATTCTTTCCAAGGATTCTATATCCATTCTATAATATGGTGACCAGAACTGAACTGCGTTATCCAGGTGTGGTCTCACAAGCGCAAGATACAGTTTTAGGTTGACCTCGCTAGTCTTGTAACTAACACTCCTTTGCTCCTTGTTTCGAGCAAATACACATTGTTTACTTGGCTTAAGGTTCCTACTAATCATTACTCTTAAATCTCTCTCGCGTGGTGAATGCCTTGGGGGGCGTGCGGGCGTGGTGTGGGCGGCGCCATATAGGTCAGGGCGTGGATGGATCCCAGACGAACATTAGTAAAGTGTTTTGGGACTTGTATATCCCAGGCGCCATCCCTTATACGTGTGTGTGTGTGTGTGTGTGTGTGTAGGTTAGTTCATATTGGTGGATGTTTTGCTCAAACACTTTCAAGCATAGGCAAGTTTACGTACACACACACA